CCCCCCCCATAGAAAGGACTTAGTACAGCAATAGGCACTCAGATATGTGGTATCTATAACAATAATAGGAAGCTGCTCTTTTTTCCTTGTATGGGAGACAACCAGTCATTTGGAATTACAGCTGCCTTAGGCCTGGAAAGGGTCTGAGGGATACAGGTTACCTGGCCTTAGCTTCCCTCCCAAAATGAAAAGCCTTCTCTTCTATCCTTTGTCTATATCCTTCTGACTTCGGTCATTTGCCAGTGTCTTCCAGAAGAAAATAGAATATTCCATATGCAGCCTGGCGTGTGCTCTCTAGAGTGATTTGGGCGTAAACGCTGCTTCGGCTGCTCTAGCCTGAGAGTTCATTCATTTAGCCTGAAAAACCTCATCTCATCATTGGCTCCAGGAGCTCATGTTAAAATATCTAGCGCTTTTTCCAAATGAATCATTGTCAAGCCAAGTCGTCTCCATTCTGTGTTTGCACCGATCTTTTGTTCCTCTAAATAAAGTTCTTTTTTTTTTCCTGTTACCCTCCGCGATAGTGATTTCAGCCTATGCCAATGCAGACTGAATTCTTTTTCTATTTTGCTACTCTTCCAGTTTTGTCTCATCTGGAGACTTAACAAGCATATGCTTTCTGATTTTGTTTCAATTCATATAACTTTGTTTAGATTCATAACATTTTAAAAGCAGGCAGGGACACTAGATTCTATGACAACAGGCTTTGCCACACCCTGCTCCCCCCTTGTTTTACACACGAGGAATGTGAGAGTAGACAAGTGAAATTGGAGTCACTTGGCCAAAGAAACTTTTGACAGCTAGTAAGTAGCTGATCCAGGAGGCAAATATCCAAGTTATTGGTCTTCAGAGTCTAGATGCCTAGACCACCCCACTGGATAGTCAGGACTCTACTCTCCCAAGTCCAGTACTTTTTGTTTGTTTGGTTTTTAATTTTTTATTTATTGAGAGAGGAAGGGGAGGAGAGATTTATTGTTCCACTTATTTATTCATTCACTGGTTGGCTTCTTGTATGTGCCCTGACCAGAGATTGAACCCGCAACCTTGGTGTATTGGGACAACGGTCTAACCAACTGAGCTGCTTGGCCAGGGCCCAAGTCCAGTGTTCTTTTTGCGGCATCTCTCATGTCACTTCCTTAAACTGCTAACCTAGCAACTCACCCACACCACACACACACGTTAACAATAGTATACGATTTTTTCTTTCCCATATTCTTCTAATTTTTTTAAAGTAACAAACAATTTTTTTAAATTAAACCAAACCACAAACAGAAAGCAGGGAATAAAGTTAGATTGTTAAAACGTTTTCTCAGTAAGTTCCTGCTAATTGCACTTGGTCACAGTGCTTCCTTTTTTCTGTAAGTGCTTACAAAGCATATATTCAACACTCGTTTCTTTTTCTTTTTTAAAATATGTCTTTATTGATTTCGGAGAGAGGAAGGGAGAGGGAGAGAGAGAGAAACATCAATGATGAGAGTCATTGATGGGCTGCCTCCCGCACGCCCCCTGCTGGGGATGGAGCCCACAACCCGGGCCTGTGCCCTGAGCGGGAATCGAACCCTAATCACCTGGATCCTAGGTCGATGCTCAACCGCTGAGCCACGCCCGGCCGGGCAACACTCATTTCTTTAATTTGACAGATTATTGTTAGGCTTGGCAATCTGCGGTATTAAAATTTTACTCTCTACGCCTTTTAAAAACTGAAACTAGAGCTATCCATCTTAGTTTTTATTCTTCCTCTGCTGATTTGGAAGCAAGAAATGCATTTCTAATTTTTTTGTTGTTGTTTTGGGTGTTGTTTTTTTTTTTCTTTTGTAGTGCCTTTCCATTTTTAAGGTATTATTTAATTACACATTTTCTTAAGAGTGTTTATAGTTTACTGTTTTTAACTACCCAGCCAAGATGAGGACCTTGAATGTTTAGTTTTTCATTTCCCCTTTTTCTTAAACATGCAATAACTAGTACTATTTTCAGTCGATAGTAAATCGTATTTATAAGAGTCTGTGGTGGCAAATCTCTCTGGGACGAGTAAAAAAAATCTTTGATTAACTGTTGTGTTTGCTTTTTTTAAACCATTTTTAAAATTTTCCTATTAGTTGACATACAGTATTATCTTAGTTGCCATTTTTGATGCTGATGAGACCTCTGCTGCTCTGTTCTAACCGTGGGTCCTTTGTAGATAATCTTGTTTGTCGTCTGGGAGTTAACATTCTCTCCTTATCGTTGATGTTCTATAGTTTTACTAGGATGTGCCTGGGTTTGGATTTATTTTTACTTATCCTGTTAGGACTTGGATACAAGTCTGTCTTCAATTCTGGAAAAGTCTCAGCAATTATCTCTTCCAATATTGCTTCTCTACCATTGTTGCCATTGTCTTCTGCAATTGCTATTGTGTGGATATTGCAACCTTTCCCCCCACCCTCCCTGTCTCTTAACTGCCCTTTTTAATCTCTATTTCTCTATGTTATAATCCTGGTGAGTTTCTCTGTATCTACCATACTTTTCCAAATTCTCTCTTTAAAACAAATAAAACAGAAAAAAACCTTTTTTATTGTGAAATATGAGACATACAGAAAGATGCATCGTGTACAGCTTAACCAATTATTATCAAGAGAAGACCCTTGTAACCTCACCCAGGGCCAGGAAACAGAGCACTGTCAACACACAGAAACCCCTTATGTGCTGCTCTGGATCACATGCTCCTCCCTCCCCCTAAGGCAACCACTGCCCTGATTTTTACTATAAGCATTTCCTTACTTTNCCCAGTATGTAATATTTTGTTTTAGCCATCTAAATGGACTAAGACAGACACACAACCATAACTGCATGCTCTGAGAGAAGCCCTGGATTTCTACCTTTTTTTTTTTTTTTAATTTAAATCATTTTTTATTTTTCAATTACAGTTGACATACAATATTATATTAGTTTCAGGTGTACGCCCCAGTGATTTGACATTATATAACTTAATAGGTAATCATCCCAATAAATGTCGTACCCATCTGACACCATATATAGTTATTAAAATATTTCCTTACTTTTCTTTATAGTGATAACAGTTACATGTGCAACCCTAAGCACTAGAGTTTAGTTTTGCATGTTTTCAGTACACTATATATTAAAAATGTAAGAAAAAGAAAAGTGAGAGATTGAGTCATACAGTATGTATACTTTGATCTGGTGTGTTTCTCTTAACATTGTATTTGTGAGATTCATCCATGCTGTTAAATATAGCTATTATTTCATTCTTTTTTATTAGCGTATGAAAATACCACCAGCAGTGTACAGGAACATTAATTTACTCACCGTCTCTCTTTTCTACAGTTTGCCTCATCTATCGCTTTTTTTTTTCATTTCACTCACTAATTTCCTTTGTAGGATTTTTAATTGGTTATTTCTGTTTCTCTTTTGACTCCTGATTTCATGACTTTTTTTTCTTTTAATGGAAACCATGCTTTCATTTCTCTCTCTGATGACTTTTAGCACACACTCATTCTCAGGTCTTTGTCCGACTGGGCTGAATTCTGCTCGAGCCGCCAGGTTTTGCCGGCTGATGGTTTAACAGATTGCGGCCTGTGTGTTGGGGTTGTCACCCTGCCTCTTCCATGGGAGCAGCAGCCTTAGGCCGCAAGTAGCCGGTCTGGGCTGCGAGCCTCCGTCCGCTGGCGGGACAGCGCCACCTAGGCCCGGCTTCAAGCACCGAGGCCCATCCTGTCCCTTGTTCCATCCAAAACGTTCTGGATCCCTTTTCCTCCAGAGGCCACTGCTCCTGCCCCGCGACACATACAGAGCCCGTCATGCTGGGCCTGCCACTCCTGCTCCNCTGGGCCTGCCACTCCTGCTCCATCCAGCGTTTCTGGTTTTTGACTCAGCATGTGTTATTCCACTTTTCTCTTTTTTCCATTTTTCCTGTAATCCGCTGTGTTTAGAACAGAGAGGATTTTTTTTTAAAAAAGTGCAAACTCACCACCTCCGTTGATGTGAACATCGACTTCTTTTTCATCGCCAAAATAATCTTTCATTTCCCCCTGCGCCCTGGCATGTGACCCATCTAGGCCGGACATGGTGACGTCTCTAGGTTCCCCTTTTCATTCTCAGTGAACAGGAATTGGGTCACATGATCCTTCGCTCGCTCTAAGGCTTAAAACTCATTTCACTGCTGAAATGTTTCCCACTCTTTCTAGTTGAGATTTTTTTTCTGAGCGCTGGAAGAGACTGACATGAAATAGAGTGGCTGGTTGGTTCTGCTTTCTTTCTCCCATCTATTAATAGTGCACTGTCTTCCCGAAGTTGGGTTTTTTTCTTTCCTTGTTCATCTTTTTCTAAATGTTATTTCACAAAACAGAATCCCTTGGGGGCCTTTAATAGGATTAGGAACTTGAGGTTATTTAGGACTTGAGACTTCTGTATTCTGTCGCTAGGATACTGTACCCTGAGGCCAGGGTACTTGTCTTTCTTTTTCACCACTCCATCTCAGCCAGCCGACATGCAGTAAACACTCAATAAATATTGTTTACATACCATCCTATGTTATGCCACTGTGTCTATTTAAATGAGCTTCAAAGAGGGTTCCCTGTATCCCCCCACCTTGGTTTATTTAAATGTCCTTTCTCCCATCTCTTCTTTTGTTTGATTTATGACTATAGTGTTAAGATTTTCTTTTTAGAGTTTTTCATCCCTCTCAAGCCAGGCTTATACCTAAAATAGGAGTATTAGTTAACTACGGCTATATAACAACATTACCACAAGTGTCAGTGGCTTAAAACCATGCCCATTTATTTATTATCCCACAGTTCCCATGGGCACAGCCTAGCTGGGCCCTCTGCTCAGGCAGCGGTCAAGGTGTTGCCGCGGATGCAGTCTCCTGTTTAGCTCCATCCTGTTCCACATTCACGCAGCTTTCTGGCTGAACTCAGTTCCTTGTGGTGGTAGGACTGAGGACTTCAGTTCCCTGCTTGCTGTCAGCCGTAGCCCGCCCTCCGTTTCCAGAGGCCACCTGCAGTCCCTTTTCACCTGAAGACTGCTAACATGGCCCTTTGCGTCCTCAAAGCCAGCAAGGGAGGGACAGAGTCCAGAACACAGATGTGCTAATGAGCAACGTAAACACGCGCATCCCCTCACCTTTGACTAGTGCTCTTGGTTAGAAGCACATCAGAGGTCCCACCATGTTCAAGGGGCACGGATCGCGCAAGGGTATGAACACCAGGAGGCAGGGATTCTGGGGGTCACCTTAGTTCAGAATCTGTCTGTTGCCTGGCTGGACTTGACTCAGCAGTTGAGCATTGACCTAGGGTCCAGGAGATGGGGGTTCGAATCCCGGTCGGGGCACATGCCCAGGTTGTGGGCTCGATCCCCAGCAGGGGGTGTGCGGGGGGCAGCCGATCAATGACTCTCATCATTGATGTTTCTCTCTCCCCCTCTCCCTTCCTCTCTCTGAAATCAATAAAGATAGATTTAAAAATAAAGGTGTACAATTCAATGGTCTGAGTATATTCAAAGTCATGCAACCATCACCACAGTCCTAAGCAGACACTAATTTACTCTTTTGCTCTATGGATTTGCTTATTCTGGCTATTTCATCTAAATGGAGTCATACAATACATGGTCTTTTGTGACTGGCTTTTTTTTCTTCCCATGTTCTCAGGGTTCATCCGTGTTGTAGAACTTCATTCCTTTTCCTGGCCAAATATCCCATTGTGTGGGTACACTACATTTTATGTATCCATTCATCAGTCAGTGGAAACTTATTAACATTTAAAAACTTAATGAAGCTACTATTTACATTCAGTAAAAACCTTCCCGAATGTTCTCATATTGGGCCTCCTAGTAGTTTGTTCAAGTAGGTGTTGCTATCACCACCACCTTTTTATAGGTGAAGAAGTGGAGGCTCAGAAAGCCTGACCAGTGTGTCTAAGATCACAGCCTTGAAGAACCAGAACTCACACTCAGACCTGGTTCATCTGACTTCGAGTCACACGCTTCCTCCCTTATTGCCACAGTTGCCTCGCCCATCCCTTGGTGACACTGCTGCGCAGAATAATTACTTCGTAGTTATCGTCTTTGCTAACTTTTCTGTTGTTGTTTCTTGATTTAACCTACTGTTGTTAGATACAGGAAATGGACTTGAAAAGAACTTTGAATGCGACCTCTCTCGATAACTTTGCGGATAAGATGGGAATGTGTTCCAGGTGCTAATATACCTCAGTAGCCTAGCAACAGATAGAACAGTTGTACAAGCAGCAAACTGCTCAACACGTTGATGTCCACCTGTGGGGACAGGCCCAGGGGTGCACTGGAGGGTTCTCTTTTCCATGTCTCATGAAGGACTTCTATAAGGACCTGGATTAAACTATGCTTGTGTTAGAAGACCTAGTGCATGATATTTGTAGAAGTCCCAAAGCTGAAATTTTTCAATTCTAGCCATCTGGTAGTGCCACACGCGGAGACTGCACAGGAAAAGTTTTCATAGTGATAACATATACTTCTCTTGGCTTCCTTTTTTTCCATAGGGCTCTGTGGCTATAGCCGGTGCTGTTATCCGCTGGCTAAGAGACAATCTGGGAATTATAAACAGCTCAGATGAAATTGGTGAGTATGTTCTAATGAAAGGTTCTCATCTAAATAATGAAAATTTTTAGTATTTTACCTTCGCAATCCGTTAGTTACTTGTGCTTTTGCCCCATGTGCGACATTAAATTCTATGGATCCCTATTACAAGTTTGATTTATACATAAAAGACTAGTTTGTGAAGATTTATAAAACAGCGAATTGACATATTTAGTGGTGGTTATTAATAAACTGGCAAGGTAGGGCATAAAAATTACCCAAGTGTAAAATTGAACACCAAAGATTGCCAGAACCTGCAGGGGAAGTAGTCCAGTTAAATTTATCTGATGAGAAAGAGCTTTAACTCTTGGATTAGAGTGAGCATTACAACTCCAGCACCTATAATTTAGGTATTAATGTGGCTATTTTCCATTTATGGATCATTATTTTGAGCTCACCTACCCACTCTTTCATCTACTTGTTTAATTTTGCCTACTTGTCTAATCACATTTCTGATTAGAGATGCACTGGAGGCCACTTCATATTTTAGTCAGCAACATTAAAAATAGTGGAAATGAGCTAAAGTACCTTAACGAAACTAATCCAGTTCTTTTATTTGAGGGACTGGGTTACATTTTAGTGGTGGTGTTCAGTGTGGGGTGATTTATTTTGGTTGTTCCTAGCATACTGCTATAATTAGGAACATTTTATTGTACTAATGAGTAAGAAACCAAAAGCCCTGTCCTAAGATTTTTTAAATAGACATGTTTATTGACTAAAGTAAGTGGGATATATAGAATGATTTTTAGTTTTGTTTTTCTTTTTCACTGTCAGAAAAGCTTGCTAAAGAAGTAGGTACTTCTTATGGCTGCTATTTCGTCCCAGCGTTCTCAGGGTTATATGCACCTTACTGGGAGCCCAGTGCAAGAGGGTAAGAATTAAAAATAAGGTATGCTTTCGTGGGTCTAATAATTTACAAGTCAGTACTTTCCTGTCTATTGTCAAGTGATTCTAAAGTATTGAGGAAACCTTTTCTATTTGGAGAGTATAGTTTCATATCCTCTTATCTCCAAGAAGTTACAAATCATCTGACAATAAGCCCCTACTATGTCCACATTCATATTAGTGTTTTATCTTTTATCTTCAAGGCATCTGCAAAGGGACATCATCAAGATCGATGCTGATTTGGTTTTATATTTTTGTCATCTATTCAGATGGATCTTGAACTTTTTCATATGTGGATGCAGGGTTGTGGACCACAAGGACTTTCTAAACTACTTAACGTTTATGTCTAGTTTTTTGGTGTGGTTTT